CGTACGTCTCTGCAGCATGACGACGTATTTGCTTTCGCGATAAAAAAACAAATACATGAAATACCACAGGACAGGTCTTTTATTTGTTAGTAATTTCTCGCCCGAAAATAAAGAAATAAAATATACATGACCTAATACAGCAACTAGGTTTTATTAGGCAAATATCTGTAGTGTGCCTGCTGCTGATGCTCCCATACTCCTATATTATATTCCGGAACTTCAGCTAGGTTTTCCGGTGTAAGTGACTCCTAAATGCTTGAGTCCACCTGCAGCATAGCGTCGTGTTACTAGAGTAACGACATTTGCTGCGGAACAATTCAAAAGAATATTATCGCTGTGATTTCATTGATATTCAAGGGCAAGTTAAAGTCCTCGTGTTTCCGGTCTATTCTTATGAGCCTGCAGCCCACACTGATGTAGCATGATATCCGGTGTCATCGACATATACATACATCTGACATCCCTATGTATATATTACATGCTAGTAAATATAGTAAAACACTTCGCAGTTATGGCGATAATCCTCAACCTCGGAGGACACTTAAAGCGTTATTTATTTGACTAAGACAAACTACTTTGCGAGCAGTACGAATTTGTGCCATTTAAGAAAGCACAGTCCTATTTGACAAAGTGTGGTGTCGTTCCTACGCTCTGAAGAAAATTAAGTATTGAACAAACAAACAGCGCGAACATACGAGGACTGGCGAATAAAACGCGAGACAATGGCGCTTTTGTTCGTCCTTGAAATTTCGTGCTGTGTACTTCAGCTTGGTCAATTAATTATTCTAGGATGATTTAGTGGTTTGTAAGATCTACGCTGTGATTAGCGTTTGCAATATCTGAAGTTACTCAAGTGGCGTACTTTTACTGTATAGAGCAAGTTGTAATCGCCCTTCTGTAGGTGAGAATGGGCACACCAAAAGGAGCAGCTACACCAGCTACGCAAAAGGAGCCGCTCGCTCCTTTTCGACGCAATAAAGACGGTTCCTGGTCAGTATCCGCCTCTTCCCTGAATGATATGTGGGGTTGAACGTCTCAAAAGCACCATATGATTATGAGAGACGCCGTGATGGGGGGCTCCGGAAATTTCGACCACCTGGGGTTCTTTAACGTGCACCCATATCTGAGCACACGGGCCTACAACATTCCCGCCTCCATCGGAAATGCAGCAGCCGCAGCCGGGATTTGAACCCATGACCTGCGGGTCAGCAGCCGAGTACCTTAACCACTAGACCACCGCGGTGGGGCCCGCCTCTTTCCTGGGGCATTCATTGTGCGCTATCTGTAGCCCATATCCTCACAATTGGCGTCCAACGGCAAGCTACTACAGAAGCGGCGACGCAGAAAAACAAGCGGACGTGGAGTCCAAGGCGCGGGAAGCTGCCCCAGCACGGCGACGCTGGAAAGCGGACCCTGAAATGGCGAGAGCGTCGGAAACAACGGCAAAACATCGAAAACGTTCGCTACCTGAGATTGGTTGCACCGATGCTCGGTTCAAGCGGGATTTCCTCTACAGGAGCTTCGTGCACAGCTGCAAGGTGTTTGCCGCTTTGCAAATATTTCACACAGCTGCGAGGTAATTTGGGGAAAATCGCCAACATTCAAATCAAACCGTCTCAGACGAACGCCATTGCTGTGCTGCGGTGAAATTTCCCCGGCGTTGATGCTCACAGCTAATTTTTGGTTCACGCTCTACGTGCGAAACGAAAAGGCCCATGTACTGCCTAATGTACACCACATAAAAAAATTCTGAGCTCTACACTACTCCGTTCCTGATATTCATATCGTGGTTTTGGGACTTATTATTGGAGTCTTTTCAAGGAGTGCGAGGGCCCCCATATACAACTGTAGTTTCATTGAGATCGTATAAAGGCAGTACGTTTACATATCCGTTAAGGTTCGAGTTGTGTGAATAGTAAAGATTGCTTCCGGACAACCTATTCTAACTATGAACCTGCGCAGAAATAAAATATCTAAACCAACCTAAGGTTCTGGTGTAGGTGTCATTCATATTAACCATAGCAGAGGTCACCACTTTAAATGCAGAATCATTCAAAGAGAACATTTACTTTGGTTCACTACTCTAACTAATAAATGCTTACAGCGGACACGAAAACGAAAAGGCACAGCTTGTACACTGACGCGAGGCCCTTGTGATTGTTCTAAAGCAGTTTGAACAATACAGACATAGTCTTAGACTCGCATAACCAGTCGTAGTGACTTTATAAAAATAGCTGATAGTGAAGAAATTCTAATTTTTAGACCTCCGAACTAATTCTAACTTAGTGTCGAGGAATCAGTGAAATGTCCGTGCTGATGCTCCGCGCTTATGTCTACATCGTGGTAATTGGTAAGTACTTGAACAAATAATCTTCAATAGACGTTAATTGACATTTTACGCGCAGTAGTCCGAAAGAATGATATAATGAAAATATTTTTTTTATCGCCTAAACAACGTAATGTTCAAAAATAGAAGCCTCAGAACGGCACTACAATTTTCATCTTATCGCAACTTTATGCCCCGCGTGAAGCCGGCGAGAGGAAAATACAAGAAAGTCAATAACAACCAAACGCTAATGCCCACTTGTTGTGCAGCCGGGAAAGTCCCTATGAAAACATACTAATGAGCGTGAAATAACTCTCGTTGGCAAACGGCGCATTCCACATTAATTCAAGGCACACACAGACAATAAGCTTATCAAGGTGTTTGTGATGAATGACGTGGTCCAACCAACCGCTAAACTGTGACTCCCTCGACTCTATAGAGCGATTGTCGATTGTTGTTAGTCCGTTGGTTTTTTTTGTTCAGTCATAATGCACAAAATTGAAAAGAGGTCGGCAGTAAACGCAGACTTGGATACATCAATGGAAGTGGATTTTCTTAAGGCGCTATGCCGTGAAGCGCACGTGCTTGAGCACGGGTTTATTTCACTTCACCGAGTGTGCGCTTAGAAAGCGCAAAGACAATAGGTAGAGCTTGTATGGAGGATACATCACGTACTATCACCATAGACGTTATAATCAAGTCATTCAACGGACTATTTTAATATCCACTGCCACACCAAGCTGTTTCACAGCACTCTGCTTCAGTAATATTTATTTGTGGCAATTACAATCTAGGAAATGTTGATTTGCTTTCTCGGAATTTTCCAGTATTTTTAGCTGGACCAAAAATTTCGCACACTTTTTCTTGTGTTTTCTCTGCTTAATAAGAATGCAAAATGCTGCACTGGAATCACGACATACAGTTTTCCGATTGTGCCAAACAGTGATTCCCATTTATAACACGAGGAGTACAGTACTTCTATGAGTTGACACACAGAACCAGTGTGCTATGTGAGATTATTGAGAAAATATGTGCTCTTTCGTCTTATAAAATATTTGTGGTACAATGATGCACTCAGCTACTGTGGTCTAGAAGTGAAGTATTTAGTATCGCTAATGCATAGCGATTGTATTGATCATTGATTGAAAGAATTACTTCGTGCCAGGTATTCAAAGAATGTCCTTCTTCGTGAACCTGTCCGGCGCATACCAACTCACAAGCAAGCAAGCCGATTCTAGCACAGAGGGTGTTACGGTTTACCCTCAAGTGTACGAAAGCAGACAGGAAAACTTGGAAAAAATGCTGGTTATTGACGGGTACTCTCTTAATCTAAAGAAAGCTTCCGTTCTTGCCGACACAGTCCTTCTGCTAGAAGTAACAGAAAATGGTACTGCCGAACAATACGTAAGTGAAAGCTATCTTTTGAAATATTTTATAATCTGTTTGATTACGTATTGAGACGAGAGTCACGAAGCGACATTGAGAGCCCCCGTGAATTTTTGAAAGGGTTTCGTCATAATACTAGCATAATAATGAAGGGACTTCGCAATCCAGCCACCACTGAAAACGAACAAATGAAAAGAACAAAGAAAGAGACGAAGCAACAAACGAACAAAATAAAAGTTGATTTGTGTAAAATACACACAGTCTTACGTCTTTCTATTGGTGTAATGCGCTAATTTTTTATGGAAGAGTTACGGTTTGTTAATGATCTCCCCCACTCGAACTTCACCTACATATCATCATTCTTTCCGTGGATGTAGCGTAATTTTTTTGTGGCCTCTTGCAACCTGTTTGGTCAAAAGGAAGACACAAATAAACTAAGTTTAAAGTTTGCAGCTGTCTCTTTCCGGTCTTTCTGTGTCCTTGTATTCATTTGCGCACAATTGTTTACCTTGAAGCGTGCCTATAAAGGTGTTGAACCAAACTCGAACCCAGACCAAAACTGCAGGTGAGCTTCTGTTGTGCAGCTACGTTTAATCGCATTCTAAGCTATTGTTGCAAAGTGATCACTTTTAAAATGATTAGAATATCAGTGTTCGAGAACCTAGCTTTATGAAGAACATTACTCAGGTGCTCTCCCCTTCATACAGTTTTTTTCCTGTTCTGCGGCACGGGTTCATCATCCGCGGCTTCGTCCATGCATTCTACCCCATCCACCCATTCAAGCCAAAAGAGAAAAAAAAATTACATCGATGCACAAAAGCACAGGTGTTCCGACATCCTAGCGGCTTCTAAAGGTACTGCACACACACCACTGTACGAAAAGCAGCACCTGACGTTTCAACCCTTCAATACACTTGCCTTTACGCCTTGGTCAGGATGATCTGTGTTATGGCATCACGGGTTACAGGAAGACAGTTGGTATCTATAAACGTGATTGTTATAATTATATATTGTTCCGTTATTCGGTAATTATAATTAAGGAAGTTTGGGCTGATAAGCTACCTTATGATGATTCGATACGTGCTCGGTGACCCAGACATGTGTTGCCGGTGAAACAGCATGCGACATATACCCCGTGTCATTCACACTGGAAGAATGGTGAAACCTCCGTTGCTTTATAACAAAAGTGGTCGCGTTTAAAACGTTGCTGCCACAAAAGTTATATTATACATTCAGCAATGACTGAAGCTGACGTAGTTGGTACGACATATATGTAAAGCATCAAGCCCCCGTCCCTCCCCCCTTTAAAAGAGCGCTATGTGCGCAGGAGTAGCACGAAGCTCCAGGTTTTTTTTAAAGGGAATGTACAGTCAACCAAAACCACTTGCGGACCTCGCGCACCAATTCCAAACTACCTGTCCGGATGGATGGATGAATGGATGGATGGATGGATGGATGGATGGATGGATGGATGGATGGATGGATGGATGTGGCTGTACCTTTTAAATCGGGCGGCAGCTAACGCCACCTAGCCGTAATACTTAGTGAACTAATCATTAGATTTATCTTTTTTTCCCCTCTAAATAGTGAGGTTGAGCCTTCGTACTTTGCAGTGACGGGTTTATTTTCACTCGTGCCTTGACTTTAGCCACCAATCAGATAACCTCCTTCTAGGTAAGTCTGCCCGCTTAAAGTCTATTTTGCCCTCCCTGTCCCTAAACCCCAGTGCTTTGAGAAACTCTGCGCCATCATCCTGAACTATAGGGTGAAGCCCTTTACACAACATTATCAAGTGTTCGGTAGTTTCTTCTTCCTCTCCACACGCACTGCATACTGTGTCTACCCCTTCGTATTTGGCTCGATATATATTGGTTCGCCACACTGTCGTCCTGGCGTCAAACAGTAGAGAACTACCCCGAGTATTATCATAGATCCTTTCCCTGGCGACTTCCTGCTTAAAAGTGCGATAGATCTCTAGTGCGGACTTCTTAATCATGCCAATTCTCCACATGTCGGTCTCCGTTTCCTTCACTTTCTTCTTAACTGATAGTTCTTTTTGGTTTGGCCACCTGCTGTTTTGTGAATATTTACCATTCAATTTCCTGGTTCGCTTCCTCCATTTTGTATCGACATTCTTCATGTACAAGTAGCTGAAAACCTTCCTAGCCCTAACGCTCCTCCCCCATTTCTCTCTATCGCTTCTCAAGTTTTATCTTGCTGCTAGCAGCATCCCCGCCATCAAATGATGTCCATCCCATATCACCTCTTACTCCCTGATTTGGTGTATTCCCGCGAGCTCCTAAAGCAAGCCTTATACCTATTCCACGTTGCTTAATTTCTAACCTTGCTTGAACTTCTGATCTCATGCACAAGACCGCATTGCCGAACGTCCGCCCAGGAACCATGACGCATTTCCTTATTCCTCTCACAACATCATACCTATTGTAATTCCACAGTCCCTATTTTTTTCATCACTGCTGCATTCCTGTTACCTTTAGTCGTCACGTATATTTCGTGTTCCCTTAGGTACTCGGTCCCATTGCTTATCCATTCGCCCCGATATTTGTATTTATCTGTTATCTCTAGCGTGACCTCCTCTATTCTAAGCTCACTACCTTCATTATCATTGAAAACCATGACTGCTGATTTTTCCTTACTGAATCTAAAATCTAACCTATCTCCCTCATTACCGCAGATGTCCATCAATCTCTGCAAATCTTCCTTGTTGTCGGCCATTAGCACTATATCATCTGCGTACATTAATGCTGGTAGTGCATGATCAGTGAGTTTTCCTTGTTTGACTAAACAGAGGTTGAAGCCCAGTCGACATCTCTCTAATTTGGCCTCTAATCCTTGTAGGTACATCATGAATAATAAGGCTGACAGGGGACACTCCTGCCTAAGCCCCCGTTTTACTTCGGCAGGCTTAGATACCTGTTTTTGCCACTTTATAACTGCCTCGTTACCTTTATAGATATCCTTTAAAATATTAGTGACTACATATTCCACGCCTAGTGTGTCCAGTATTCCCCACAATTCCTCTTGAACCACGCTATCGTACGCTCCATTGATATCCAAAAATGCTAGCCACAGGGGCATGTGTTTCTTTTCTGCTATTTCGATGCACTGCGTCAGTCAGAACAGATTGTCTTCCAACCTCCTGTGTTTCTGAAACCCATTCTGCAGTTCCCCCAGCACCCCATCATCTTCTATTCATGCCTGCAGTCTTTCCTTTATAATCTGCATCGCCAGCCTGTAGACCACTGATGTCACTCTTATATGACGGTAGTTGTTTATCTCAGCTTTGTCCCCCTTTCCTTTATAAATCATGCTCAGTTTGCTAAGTTTCCATTCATAGGGTACCTCACCATCGATTATTAGTTTGCTCACTGCCTCTCTCAAAGCATGCTTAGACTTTGGACCTAATGTCTTTATCAACATAATTGGAATGCCATCTGGGCCTGCTGATGTACTACTAGGAACTCTTTTCTGAGCCCTTTCCCACTCTCGTTGTGAAAATTGAGCCATTGCACCACTTGATTCATCCTTGTCTATTGTGGTGCATAAAGCACTTATTTCTTAAAATTTTTCTGTCACCCTTGTTCTTATATATTCAATAGCTTCGTCCCCTTCTAGCCTAGCACCTTGGGTGGTAGTTATAAACCTCTGCTCTAGGGTCGTCTCATTTCTTAGGGAGTTTCGATGGTTCCAAAATTTCGCAGCTGCCTTTCTATCTTTTTTATGTTCTTCTGCCAGCCACTGAGCTCCCTTTCTTCTAATCTTTTCATTGACCAGAAGGGATGCATCCCTTCTACAGCTTAGAAAGCTTTCCCATTTTCTTTCAACATCATCTGTCGGTTCATCCCGCTGCTTAGCATGTCTGTGTTTCCTAGAGGCTTCCTGACGTTTTGCTATAGCTTTCTTAACTTCCTCATCCCACCAACTTTTGGGTTTGTGCCTTCTTTGCCGGGGTGACTTGTCACGCGTCTTTGCAAGCTCTAGCTCAAACAGTCTAATTATGTTCGTGTATGTCCACACTGTTTTATTATCCTCCATGATTGCTTTCTGAATTTGTTTAGTGGCTATTTCAATTTGCCTTTCTGGATAAAAATTTTCCTGTAGTTGCTCATCTTCTCTCCTTCCCACTTTCACTGCTCTTCCAAAACTTAGCTTGATACGTTTGTGATCACCACAAACGTATCACCCACCTCCGTAGCATCTAGCGGTGCGCTATCTGGCGGCGCGCCATTTGTCCCACCTCCGCACCATCTAGCGGCGCGCCATCTACCGTCGACTGCAGGGCGAGGCCGGAAATGGGTCTTCTTGATATTCACTGGACTTTCAATTTTCTGCTGCCGCGTAGAGCATTGTTAGATTGAAGTTTTCGCGGTAAGCGCTTTTCTGCAGTATGACCGTCACAGTTCTCCTTTCATTGCAGGATCAAATCTAACTTGGCATGCCTGAAACGGCATACCATTGTCGAGGTGTCACTTCGTAATAAAGAGTGCGACCGATAAACTGTATGCTCATAGTCTGTTTTCGAAGCAAAAGCACGTAGATGAAGATGTCAAAAAGCGCGTCGCAATAGAAAGTGAAGAGTTAAAATTATTTGTACCTAACCAGAAAAGAGACCGGCCCTGGATTAGGGAGAGATGCTTCTCGTGCTATCGACTACCGCTAACGTAGTGGAAATGTCGCGAAGAGGCTTTTAGCCTAGCACTCGCGCCGTCTGTAAACGTTTGTGTTCGATTGTATCCTATATTCATAATGCGTCACCTCGTGAAGTATATATTCTCAAATTGCACACCCTTCAAGCTCTTCAGCGCTGATCAGAGATCTCAAGTAACTAGGGGGCTTGCTAATAATCTTCTGTAAGTGCTTGTGTAACCTTTTTGCCCAAGATACTTTTAGAAGGGGAGGAGGGGGGTCAGACCAACGCACATATATACGTGAAATAAAAGTGTAATATAAATTTCACCTGTTTACACTGAGCAGTACTGCGGTTATAAGATTACTTTTTGGGTCACGCGCAGTTGTCAGCCACCACCACCGCTGCCATCTGTAACAACATCGCTCGAAGTTAGAAAAAAAAAACAACCCTTGCACCAATGGCACAATGGGGCTCGAACCCTAGTCTGCTGGGATCCTGCCCAGTATTCTAACACTGAGCTACACAGTTTTTTATGGTATTTTTTTCCAACAGCTTCCAACAGCTGGCTACACCGGTGCCTGTGACTTATTGTCACACTTGCCTTAAGCAGGCTTGATTTTGGGGAAGCAATCGCGTTAATACGACTTATAAAGCGTTTTACAACAGCGAAAGAACAACCAGTCGTCGCACAATGCAAATAGCATAACGAGTGGGCCATCCGATGCTTCGAACCATCACAAAAGCTTGGTCTTGTTCCCCTCTTAACTGTGGCGCATACCCACTTCAGCCACAGTTCCTCATCGTCGTCAGCCACTGCATGGACAATTGGCACAAAATTCCTAGGAAGTGTCTTGAAGATACCACGCTTTTCATAAGAATGACAAAAGATAGCATAGCGGAGGCCTGCCTACTACCCAAAAGTTTATTAATAATGCCCTAGTGGGCACCAAGAAAGTGTCCTTGCAGTAATTACCCACTGAGTGTTTTGAAAAGGCTCTGAAAGGCCGCTGTTATAGCTTTCGCTATGACGGACTGCGCCTACCGAGCAGGCATGGTGCTTTTTGATTCAATGACTATTCACTATTTATTTCAAGCATAAGTGTTCACAGACGTTATGCGCAAGTTCACATGGAAGTTCACAGTCACGTGGAAGTGTTCACACAAGTTTTACGCAGGTTCAAGGCTCCCACTATGAGAGACACTTGTTCGAAGATCCGGACAAGCTGGCATCACTGATTCTCAAGCCGGTAGTTCCAGGAAATTATCACGTCGTGAGTAAAGAATTTTAAGTTACACGCTGTTGCCCCAAGTAGCCCTCATTTTGGCCACTGTAAAGTAGATGTGTTCAACACACCTCGAAATCTTCACTGTTAGCCTGTATCTTGTACAAGCATGCAGGCGCACACAGAGGACTTGACCTCCCTTCTCCTACTCCCCTACTGAAACAAACTCCTGGCTATACATCCGTACATGACAATCTGCTTATACAAGACAGATTTGACAAAGAGGTCATGTAATATTTATATTGGGGAAAGTTCTTGTTAATGCCATCTTTCAGAAATCAACAAATAGATCAACAAAACAAAAAATAAACAAAAAATCAACAAATGGACCAAATTCAATGCAGTAAAATATGCCATGCAACAACTGGGATAGGAAAACCGCTCTTTATTTTTCAGACAGGCATGGTGAATCACACTCACAGAATTGAACCTTGTGAGAATTGGGAACGTACATCACAGAAAAGACTGGCGCACCGAATATCACGAATCCACGTCGAAACGGGGATTTATGATGTCGTGAATGATGTCGGTAAGCTGCAAGCTTTCTGCTGAATGCACCCTTCTTCCTGGCTTAGTATGTGTGTATGTATGTATGTATGTATGTATGTATGTATGTATGTATGTATGTATGTATGTATGTATGTATGTATGTATGTATGTATGTATGTATGTATGTATGTATGTATGTATGTATGTATGTATGTATGTATGTATGTATGTATGTATGTATGTATGTATGTATGTATGTATGTATGTATGTATGTATGTATGTATGCTACCTTACCTCACATAACGATCACATGCTTTTAAAACGTGACCTCAAAACAATTGAAAAATGATGCACTCTGTGGCTCATGCAAATTAACGCCAAAAAATATAAATTGATGCACGTGTCACTGAAACACTCTCATGCCCTGCTCCTAGTCTTTGCATTCTCTTCCTATTGAGCTGGTTGATTCATACGGGTACCTCGGGGTTACCATCATTAGCAAGCTCAAATGGTTCGAACATTATCATAATCTGGTAGCCACCACTAAGATATCTCTGGGATCTATTAGACGGTTCCTATCATCATCACCGCTTTTGATCCGAAAACTTGCATACGATACATTTACACGCACTAAACTGGAAGTCGCATCGGCAATATGGAACCCACATCAAGCGTACCTTGTTGAAATACTTCAAGCTGTCCAAAACCGTGCAGCCCGTTTTATTACATCCAAGTACAACCGTCGGCTAAGTGTCACAAAGATCAAATCATCCCTCGACATTAAATTGTTAGCACTTCGCAAAAAAACCTCTCGCTTATGCCTCTTTCATAAGCTCTATTGTAACTTTCCACACTTACGTGACATGTTTCTTCTCCCGCCAAACCGCACTTTACGCACCTGTCCCGCTCCCTCAGTCTTTAAAAATTCAAGGCTCTACCGATTCGTACAACAACTCCTTCTTGCCAATAGCCATTGCAGAATGGAATAGTTTACGTGACAGTGTTGTGATTGTACATCACCCCATCAAATTTTGAAACAAGTTTATTGAGTGATGATGCGTAATGAATTGAGATTTTTGTGTAATTGTGTTTTCATCTTGAGCGCATTATCCTTTACGTGCATTTTGATCATTTCATTGTAAATTTTAGTTTTTTTTTGCTTTCTAATGACTGTTTGCATTTTTTTCTCTTGTGTATGCTAGCTCCCCCCTTGCGTAGTACCCCAACAGGGGCCTTTAAGGGTAAATAAATGATGATGATGATTATGCATGTATGTATGTATTATGTATGTATGTATGTATGTATGTATGTATGTATGTATGTATGTATGTATGTATGTATGTATGTATGTATGTATGTATGTATGTATGTATGTATGTGTCACTGCTGAGATCAATGACGTTATCACAGAACTGCGTGGGAGCCACTAGGTATGTGTCTTAGGACACCAATATGTAACATTTCAAAGTACCTGAATACATGGCCACATGGGCTGTTGAAAGAGAGCTCAGGAAATGTCTTCCCATGACAATTTATTGGAGTTGTGTTTCTTCGATGCTTCTTGCGCGGGCCCGATACTAGAAAAACTGGAGAAATAGCAAAATACTTTGCAAGATGCACTTAATAAATAAATCACCACATGTCCAGGAACTGAATGATGGTGAGTGTTCGAAGCGCGGGTATCTCTTAACCTCTTTGAATCACTTAGAGGAAGCATGTCAAACTTTCCTGTGCGTTTTAAAACGGGTAAGTGATAACGTTTTGGTGGGTAGCAGTAGCAGTGCGTAACGCCTTCGGCATTTGGCAGCTGCTTCCCGCACTCTTGCCGCCTCAGTCCGCGAGTCCTTTCAGGACATGTTCACGGCAGCCTTAACGCAAGCACTTCCCGAAATTGTGGTGCAGGTCTCTAACTCAGTCCTTAAAGCCGTGCAGCCCTGGGTTATCGCCCAAATTAAAAACACCACTCAGAGCGACTCCCCGCAGGTTAAACGCAAGCCGGCCTCCCGTCAGGCAGCAGAAGAAGGCTTTTCGGGGCCGGCTCCAGGTCCGGACCGGTCCTCTGCACCGTAAATAAATACTAAAAGATGGCTAGCCGATATAATAAACAAGCTAAATATCTACAAAAATTTGAGATTATACAATGGAACTGCAGGGGTTTTAGAGCCTGGAAAAAACGGTCGCACCTCCAGCTCTACTTGCAGTCCCTCGGAAACATGCCCGCCTTGCTTGCTTTGCAGGAGCCCGGTTTGGACGTTAAATTCTCTGGCTATAGCACTTTCCAGGGGAGGCCCTCGTCATGCATCCTGGTGAACAAGGCATATACCGCGATTCAGGTCGATTTATACTTAAGTACTGAACAAGAATACACAATGGTCAGAGTACTGCCTCTCAGACGTCGCGACCAGTCAATACACATCCTAAATATATACAGCCCCGCGCATAAGCCCCGCGTAACTTTTAGCGAAATCTTCCTCCGGGCGATCAAGTTGGCAGACAAGGACCCCTTAGTGATCGTGGGAGACTTCAATGCTCCCAGCCTTCACTGGGGCTATCACTACGAGAAGGCCAGAAGACGTAAGCTGGCGGAGCTTATGTCCACCCTTCGCCTCACGCTGCTCACGGATCCGGCGTACCCCACTCGAGTGGGGAACTCGGTAACCCGTGACACGTGTCTGGACCTCTCTCTCGTAAAAAATGCTAAAGATGCTACCTGGGAGAACTCGGACGATTCTCTAGGCAGTGATCACTGCCTTCTCCGGGTCACACTCCTGGAAAAGTCAGCTCATAAAAAATGCGGTCAAGCCAAGTTGACCGATTGGACCCAATTTCGCAATCTGACTATCCCTCTCGTACTATTTTCTGGAGGCTATGCAGAATGGGCTCAACACGTAAACAGCATTCAGAAAAGACTTACTACTACCCTCCAAACCAACGAAGAAATCCTCGCAGTTGACACTCACCTCCTACACTTGTGGGAGGCGCGCCGAAGCTTAACAAAACGTTGGAAAAAGCAGAAGACTAATCGCAAACTACGTATCCGCATAGCCCAACTCACGGAACAGGCTGCAGCGTTTGCTGCCCAACTCTCAGATTCAAATTGGATAGCCCGCTGCGACGCCGCAGCTCGTCAGATGAGCTCGAAGGGGACATGGCGTCTCTTTCGCAGTCTCATAGACCCCTCTCAAACGAGAGGGGAGGCGCAGAAGCAGCTCCGGCGAGCTCTGCAAGGGTACCAAGGCACTCCGGAACAGCTTGCGGATGCTCTGTGCGATAGGTATCTCTGTCGTACGGAGGACCCGCCTGGGCCAGCGTACACGTACTCTGGTAAGCCTAACCACCAACTCTATGCCCGTTTTGAGTTGCATGACCTTAAAGCGGCTTTAGCTAAAATGCACAAGGGTACGGCTCCGGAACTGGACCGCATAACAGTAAAGCTGTTGGCAAACCTCCCTGACACAGCCTATTTCCATTTATTGAAATACATGAACGAGATCTGGGAAGGCCGTGCGCTCCCTTCAGAATGGAAAACGTCACTTGTGACTTTTATCCCCAAAGCAGGCAAGGCCGTGAATACGGAAAATCTGAGGCCCATATCACTGACTTCGTGCGCGGGCAAGCTTATGGAGACGATGGTACGGGATCGCCTTTCCCCATACCTTGAGGGCAAGGGCCTCTTTGCAAACACCATGTTTGGGTTTCGCCCACACATGTCTGCACAGGACGTCCTTCTCCAGCTCCATAGGGCCGTCATACAGCCCATAACTATGCAACACAATGATAAAGCCATCCTCGCCCTTGATCTGAAGGGGGCTTTCGACAATGTTAAACACAGCAGCATCCTGGCTAACTTGAGCTCCACCGATTGCGGGGCTAAGGCCTTTGCTTATGTCAGAGATTTTCTCTCTAAACGCCAGGCACTTCTTCGGATCGAGGACGAGGAATATGGCCCGTACATTATGGGAACACGGTGTACCCCACAGGGAGCAGTGTTATCACCGCTCCTTTTCAACACTGCTATGATGCGCCTTCCAAGCGAATTGGCCAGGGTGGAACGCACACAGCAAGCAGTATATGCCGACGATATTACAATCTGGACCACTGAAGGGAGCCTTGGTGAAATGCAGGAACGCCTTCAGCAGGCCGCATCCATAGTCGAGGCGTATGCCAACGATTGTGGACTCCAATGTGCTCCAAACAAATCAGAGCTTCTGCACGTTAGAGCGAAGCCAAGAGATAAGTCAGCCATACACATCTCGCTGTCTGGGGTTCCCATCAGAGAGGTGGAGGAGCTCCGGATTCTGGGCCTGTTCATTCACCACAGACTCAGACCAGACTCCACTATAGCGAAACTCAAGAGAATAGGCGAACAGGTAGGGCGCATGATCCACCGCGTTTCCAACAAGCGGGGTGGTCTGCGGGGCCGGGACGCGCTTCGGCTCACCCATGCCTTCATGACTAGCCGGATCCTCTACGCCGTCCCATATCTTCGCACTAACAAGCAAGAAGACGAAAGAATAGATGCCATCATTCGTAAGGCTACTAAACGAGCTCTGGATCTCCCGGTGGCCACTTCCAACGCCAAACTGAGGGTGCTAGGTGTGCTCAACTCCTACCAGGAGTTGCGGGAGGCCCACCTTATGAATCAATATACGTGGCTCGTGCAGACGGCTCCCGGGCGCCGCCTGCTAAACCGCTTACATATACAGCACACTTGCACTGCAGAGGAGGCGGAGCATATTCCGGAACTGTGGCGGCATACGCTCTCGGTCTCTCCACTCCCCAGTAACATGAATAAGCACACGCACGAAAGCAGAAGACAGGCGCGGGCTCGGACGCTTGAGAGGCAACACGGCTCCCGACCTGGTGTATTTTACGTAGATATAGCAGGGCCTTCGCCCACGGGATTTTACACGGCCTCTGTAGTTCACCGGGAAAAGCATGTCAATGGGCACTCGTTCCGAGCACAAAATCCAGAGCGCGCTGAGGAAGTCGCGATAGCGCTTGCTGCTGCGGACCCCAACTCGAAAGTTATCATCACGGACTCCCAGAAAGCATGTGCTCATTACTTAGTAGGAGAGATATCCCCCTTAGCCAGCCAAGTTCTAAAACGGGCTCTCGCCGATCCAGCCCCGAAACGCAACGTATGGGCTCCTGGCCATCAGGGCTTACGAGGTAATGAGGCCGCTGACGCGGCCGCCCGAGCGCTTAGCCACCGGGCTCCTCACCTTGGCTCTTATGACTCGGAGGCCAATACACCGCTGCTGCGGTTCAAAGAAATTCTGACCTATTATCGCGACCCTCACCGCCTTTACCCGGCTCCTGCAAAGGGGCTGAGTAAGGCGGAAGAGCGAACTCTAAGGCGCCTGCAGACAGGTACTCTACTCTGTCCTGCAATCCTAAAACATTTCGATGCGAACACAGATGGGTGGTGCCCACAATGTGGGGATACGTGTGATATCTTCCACACGGTGTGGGCATGTCCGAAAAATCCCCACCTACCCCCTTCCCCTACCCCTTCCCGAGAGGCATGGGAGACTGCCCTCCTCAACTGCTCATCACTAGAGTCTCAACGGGCTCTGGTGAGACGGGCGCGAGTAGGGGCCTCGTCATGCGGTGTCCCGGACTAAGGACGCTGACCATGTAGCGGGGTCATGCTTTGGCCCCGTACCTCTCTATTTTATAATAAATGTTTTTCATCATCATCATCTCGCCGCCTCCAGGTTCGCTTGCCGGCGCAGCCATGCCGCTGCAGCTTCGCGAGCCCGCAACTCTGGTTCCGCTTGTCTGCGTTGCTGTGTTGCAGGTGCTCTGAAAGCCCTCAAATACGCATGCAGTTTTGATGATGATGACGACGAATCCACAACCATGGCTGATACCAGTGTTGTGGACTTGCTAATCCAGAATCGGAATGAATTCGGAATCATTCCACATTTTTGCGGCCCCGGAATGGAAGGGCGACAAAACGAGGAATGGAATTAAGCGCATTTTGCATGGAATAGAATGGGGATGAAATTACGTGCTTTTCCGAGAATTGAGTATAATCGACCACGTTCGCTACATTTCGTACGTTTTGTAAATCTCCTAGTCTTACTTCGTATAACAGTTCGATGTGTTGCTATCGCATTCATCGCTATGGCCTTATGTCGAACAGTGTCATTTTTGCTGGTTAAAATACTAGCCATGTTCCTTTGTTGAATATAATGAATATTTGTTTCAAATCAAGCATTTTGCAATTCTTGGGCTAATTAGAAAAATGTTACATTGTCATTTTAGCTCTGCTTTCATAATAGCTGCCTTATTATACGTAAACAAGTTCAAAAACAATTTGATTCGATTGTGTTCTGAAATTCGCTATCGCGCACTCCTAGCCACTAAAAATTCATGAAGTAGTCGCGCACTTCTGGCCCCGGAAAAACATAAGGGTCGTTTTTGGCCATTTTGCATGCCTGTAATATATTCACTCTTGTCTTTTTCAGAAAACCAGTTGGAAAATAAATCACGTAATCCAGTAATTGGTACGTCTCCGGACAAATATAACCCTGCCTTGAATAAATATAGCTGAGAAGTAACAGACAACAATGCCCAGGAAAGTATAGGAGTTGTTACAAGAAGTAATAGTAAAGTAAATTTTTAGAGTGAAAAGTGGTCGAAAAGCGGTTGAAAAGTCTCGGTCCCTGCGGCTGGCAGGGATCGAACCTGCGACCTTCGAAAAACGGCTTCGCTGCTCTACCAAATGAGCTTCAGTGGTGGTCGTCTACCCGTCTAGTTTATGATGTGCTTTGAAACCTGAGAGTACTTGTCAGCATCACTAGTAGTTATGACGACAAGTAAAGAGCACTCTTTTCCTGCCGGTGGTCTTCTCGTAGCACGTGATCTTATCACAAACTGGCAGCTTAGAAATAATTTTTTTCTATTTTACCTGAAGGCACCAAATCGTGGAAAGTACTAAGCAAGTTATAAAAAGTGGCAGAAGTCTAAAAACTGTGAAGGCAGACTTGTGAATAGGGGAAAAATCGAATGTATGCGTTGAGGAACAAGGAAGACAGCGTCATAACCAATCTGGATAGGATAGTGTAGATGGCGGAGGATTTCTACAGAGAGCTGTACAGAAGTCAAAAGAACCAGGATAATATGTGAGAAACAACAATGGATCAGATGAGTTCGACATCCTACCAGTAATGACAGCGGAAGTAAGGACAACTCTATATGGAATGCAAAGAGGCAAATGTACTGGTGAGGATAAGGTAACAATGGACCTCCTGAATGATGGCGGAGAAGTTGTGAAACAAGAGATAGGCAAAAACCGGATGTATGCACTGAGGGACAAGGAAGGCAAATTAACTAGCAACAAGAATAGGATAGTTAAAATAGCGGAGGAGGTTTAGAGAGATCTGTACAGTAGTCGGGACAACCACGACCTTATTACAAGAACTTGCAGTAACCCAGAGGACATCCCACCAGCAATGGTAGAAGTGCGAAAAGCTTTGAAGGGAATGCTAAGAGGGCAAGCTTCTGGTGAGGATCAGGTAACATCAGATCTGCTGAAAGATGGAGGATAGATCGTGTAAGAAAAACTAGCTATTTTATGTAAATAGTGTCTCTTGACGGAAAGGGTGGCCGAATCTTGGAAGAATGCCATCATCTTAATCCATAAGAAAAAAGACGTCAAAGATTCGAAAAATTATAGGCCGATCAGCTTATTATCCATTCTGTACAAACCATTTACAAAAAATAGCTAATAGAATTAGGGTGATATTAGAGTTAAATCACCAAAGGACCAAGCAGGATTTTGTACCGACTACTCCGCACTGGACCATATTCATAACGTCAATCAGGTAATAAAGAAATGTGCAGAATACAACCAACTTATACATAGCTTTCATAGATTACGAGATGGCGTTTGACTCAGACGAGACATCAGCAGTAAAGTAGGCACTACAAAATCGGGGCATCGAAGAACCCTACCTAAATGTACTGGAAGAAATCTACAAAGGATTCACAGCCACCGTAGTTCTCTTCAAAGAAGGTGACAGAATACCAATAAAGAATGGTGTAAGACAGGGAGACATGATCTTTCCGATGCTATTCACGGCGTCTTCACATGAGGTATTCAGGACCCTATAGACTGGGAAGAGTTAGGGATAAGAGTTAATGGAGAGTATTTTAGTAACGTTTGATTCAATGCTGACATATCCTTGATGAGTAACTCAGAGGACGAATTAGAGTTTATGATTGTTGAACTGCTCACAGAAATCAGAAAAGTAGGCCTGAAAATTCATCATCATCATCATCATCATCATAATCATAATTATCCTGACTACGTCCACTGCAGGACAAAAGCCTCTCCCAAGTTCCGCCAGTTAACCCGGTCATGTGCTTGCTGCTGCCAATTTATACCCACAGACTTCTTAATTTCTTCTGTCCACCTAACGTTCTGTCTCCTCTAACCCGCTTGTCTTGTCTCGGAATCCAGTTAGTTGCCCTTAATGACTAGCGGTTATTCTGTCTACGCACTACATGCCCGGCCTATGTCGATTTCTTCTTCTAGATTGGAACTATGATATCCTTATACCCAGTTTGTTCCCTAATCCACTCTGCTCTCTTCTTGTCTCTTAAGGTTACACCTACCATGTTTCTTTCTATTGCTCGCTGCGTCGTCCTCAATTTAAGCGGAACCCTATTTGTAAGTCTCCAAGTTTCTGCTCCGTAGCTAAGTACCGTCAAGATACAGCTGTTATATACCTTCCTCTTAAGGGATAGTGGCAATCTACCAGTCATAATTTGAGAGTGCTTGCCAAATGTGCTCCACCCCGTTCTTATTCTTGTAGTTACTTCAATCTCACGGTTCGGCTCTGCGGTTATTACCTGCCATATGTAAGCTTAGTCTTTTACAACTCGAAGTGCACTATTACCTATTTTGAAGCGCTGCTCTCTTCCGAGGTGGTTGCACATTACTTTCGTTTTCTGCTGATTAATTTTAAGACCCACCTTTCTGCTCTCCTTGTTTAACTCCGTAATCATCAGTAGCAATTTGTCCCCTGAGTTACTCTGCAATACAATATCATCGGCGAAGCGTAGGTTACTAAGGAACTATCCATTAACTCTTATCCCTTACTGCTCCCATTATAGGCTTCTGAAAACCTCTTGTACACTCTAAAAAAATATCGAGTAAAAAGGGTGTCTTTTTGTCCCACAACAATAATCGTCATCAGACTTGCGTGCGCTTCCTTTCTTGAAAACTTGGCGCTGGCCGCTTTCCCATCGAGAATGCAATGTAACCCTGATAATGGGCATGTCGATCGTGACCGGAATGTACCGGGCGCGGGGCGATAGCGCAAGGATGGAACGCAATATAGATGACGATTATTGTTGTGGGACAAACAGACACCCTTTTTACTCGTTTTTTTAGAGTGTAAACACGCAGTAAACAGCATTGGGGAGATTGTGCCCCCCTGCCTTACACCCTTCTTGATTGGCATTCTGTTGCTTTCTTTATGAAGCATCATGGTAGCAGTTGATCCCCTGTAGATTTCTCGCAATGTGTTTATATACACTTCATCGACGCTCTTATTCCGCAGTGTCTGCATGACGGCTTATATTTTTACTGAATCAAACGCCTTCTCGTAATCTATGAAGGCTATGTAGGTTACGAGAAGGCGTTTGATTCAGCAGAAATATCAGCCATCATGCTGAAAATTAATATGCGCAAAACTAAAGTAATGTGCAATAGTCTCGGCAGAAACACCACTTTGCGATAGGTGGAGAGACACTGTAAGTTAAAGGAATATGTCTACTTAGGACAGGTAGTAACACAAGAGCCGAACCATGATAGTTAAATAACTAGGAAAATAAGGATGGGGTAGATAACATTCGGCAAGCATTCTCTAACCATGAATGGTCATCTGTCTTTAATATTCAACTGGAAGGTATATAACAGCTGCATGTTGCTAGTCTTTACTACTTACGGAGCAGAAACCTGAGGGCTTACAAAGAGGAATCGGCTTAAATTGAGGACGACGCAGCGAGCGACAGAAAGAAAAATGATAGGTGTTCCTTATGAGGCAAGAAGAGAGCAGAGGGGGTCAAGGAACAAACCGGGGTTAAGGATATCATAGCTGAAATGAAGAAAAATAAATGTACATGAGTCGGACACATGGCACGTAGGCAGGATCACCGGTGGTCATTAAGGGTAACTGGCTGGATTCCCATAGAAGGCAAACGCAGAAGGGGAGACAGAAAATCAGGTGGGCCGATCAAATTAAATAGTTCGCGGTTATAACGTGGTAATTTAACGCGCAAGACCGGGTGGATTGGCGGATCATGGGAGAGGCCTTTGCTTTGCAGTGGGCGTAGTCGGGATGATGTGGATGATGATGATGATGATGATGATGATGATGACGACGATGATGCATCAAGTCTGCTAGAACAAGACCCTAACTGTGACTGAAGGAGAAAAACAAAAAAATCAAGGGCTTGTTTTGTTTTTTTTATTTTTAAACAAATTTATTCAGAAAAGAAGGCTTTCATGTCTGTGGAAGTATACGAGATGTGGTTGGAGAATGATCCTTGTCAACCTCTTCTTTACGCTACATTTTTGTTTACAGAAAGTCGTGACCTCCCAGAATCCTATACCGTGGAGACACACTTCATCACCGCTCTAAATCACACCGCATACTTCGGCAATGAAACGAAAGAGCGCATAGCCTATGCTATGCTTTTTATGCATTCGGTAAGTGAGGACAGGAACGCCCAGGAACTTCAGTGTCGCTGTTGATGTGATTTAAACGGGAGTCAGTACTCAAGGTAAAAGTAGCTAAAGTAGTCAAGCCATCCACTCCTATTGCAATATTTGTACGCAAATTTTAGAGAAGTGGTATTATCTAACACGTTTAGTGTTGACAAAGAACTAATGTTATTTTGAATCAGTGATAAAATGAAAATAATGATTGATTGATATGTGGGGTTTAACGTCCCAAAACCACTATATGATTATGAGAGACGCCGTAGTGGAGGGCTCCGGAAATTTCGACCACCTGGGGTTCTTTAACGTGCACCCAAATCTGAGCACACTGGCCTACAACATTTCCGCCTCCATCGGAAATCAGGGGCAGAATAAGATTGGAACATTCCAGGCAACCACTCAGTAGAAACGTAAACCATATAATAAAGTTTTTCCCGAAGTCATAGGGCAAAAACGATTAGGAAGTTATCATAATTCCAGAACACCTTTAGGTTGTGTCATGGGGTCGAAGATGCAAAGCAAATCTTCATTTTCTCACGGGTTGCTGTTTTTGTCAACTTCAAATGAGCACACGTGCTCATGTGAAGTGCATCTGCATTAGAAGTTGGCCCATAGCGTCAAGTTTTTTGGCAGGCTACGTGAACAGCGTCCTAGCCACACGTTTGCCAACATGCACGCAACGTTGCCCATTTTATCTTTGCCAGAAAGCGCAGCTCAATTTCATCTCTGATTGGGAAGTTATGTGAGTAATTAACACCATGAAATTTTTTGATTTGATTGGTGAAACCAACGACGTCTTCGCGAGTTCCCCACAGTGGGTGAGAGTAAAGCCAGATTGCTCCAATAGTTTGTAAAACTATTTAGGTGAACAAGAACGAGGCCTTTGTCACTATACCTTAGCAGGCGTGCCATACGTTGCGTAGAACTATCTGTCTGAGCACCAGGCTGCTTGCGGGCGCTGTGCACGCGCATGCATCGACTGGCACGTCAGGAGAGCTTGAAAACAGAAGGTAGTCCTTAGGCTTACTCGGAAGTTTAACAACAAACATTTAGGTAAATCGACCCAAAATGAACCAACATCGAAAGCTAGTGCAGACAGAATGTAGCCACCATTCATGCCGACCTAAAATTTTAGTCGCCAGGCTCAGTCTTAAAGCAGCTATATTGGCGTAATGTAGCCACGTACGACTTCTCTGAGTGGCAGTTTCTTTAGTAAACTACACTGTCGTATGTTTGGCATCAAGGAAAAGTGGCGGTGTCATAATCCGAGCCACGCGGGCGCCAGAAACGACACTCTGTGGTTTTAGGCCTTCAATTCTTTATCACCCGCCATGCTGGTGTAGTCGTCACGGTGCTCAACTGCTGATACGGAGGTCGAAAAATCAAATCCCGGCAGCGGCGGCCTCGTTTTCGGTGGAGGCGAAAATGCTTAAAGGGGTACTGTACACAAAATTTCGGGGCTGAGAGAGCCTGCGGGGTCGATTCTCGTGAACATTCGTATGTCATCTAGAAGATATCAACAGTGAATATAGCTTGGAAGGTATTTTAAATTCATTTTGAAATTTGTTCGAGCGACCAACTCCTTAGCGCTGTAGACACCATCGGAGGGGACCCCGAGGTGACCCCCTACTTCCCTCACGTCACCACGCTATGGTCCACAAAACAAGTTATGCTGACTTCATAACCGCCATTTTTTTTCCCGAGTTAGTTTTCGCAGTCTATATTTCTTGGCAGCTTGTTGTGAGTGTGTGACCATGGCGCACGCTTAGAAAGTTAAGTGTTTGGCGACATTCCAGTCCCGTTTCCTGCCCGAAAGGTATTCTTTATGCAGACCGTACGGAAGTGCGTCACAGTTGTGTGTGCAGACATGGTCAAGAGCTGCACATGCTAGGTGGTGACAGTCGCACTCTGTTTTTTGGAACTCTCTCAAACCGAAACTGAAACTGATTGATAATGAAGGGCTTCGGATCAATTATCTGTCACGTGCTGCAGCAAACGATGTGTCGTGTCATGACTAACAGGCCCCCAGCAACCCTTTGCAGCAGCAAAACGCGAGGCCAAGGTTTTTGTGTTAGTACCCCTTTAAGGGCCATGTACCCCAGACTTAGATGCACATTAAAGAATAACACATTGGCATACAACAAGCTTTATGGAAGGGTGAGTCGGAAAATCCCTTTACGGGGGAAGAGCCACCACGGGCAGCTCCCACGTCGGGACGAGCAGGTCATGCCTGATTACCGTTTCGCTTGCATTGTGGAGGTCCTGCAACTGAGCGGCGAGGTTGGAGCTGTCGAGCACTTTCTGCTACTCTGCTTCCGTGGTGAGACCATTGTTGTACCGTAACAAGATACACCACATCACCATGCGCTTCAAAGTGCAGAAGGGCTCTTAGTAATGCGAGAATCAGGCTAGGGTGGTTGAATTTTCGGAAGCCCTTCACTACCACGCCTCTCATCTACGTGTTAGGATGTTGACCATCACATATTATTATTGAATTTTGAAACAACACTTTTCATTTTGTCAGCGGAACTACCACAATAAACACAACTGCGGTTTTTCCTCGATATATTCCACAATTTTTCTGAGTTCTGGCATGGTCTATTTGTCGTTATGAAAAGTCATCAACATTTATGGTTCCCAAGAAGCACTCATCGTCCTAGTCGTCCTGCGTCGGTGGGGTGACAAGGGCACAAACGCAGGCAGTCGACGCCATTGTGCTCTCTTCAGGATTTTGAAATGAAACTGAGGACTTGCATTGTATTTCTTGCGAAGCAGCTTTTTACTAAAAAAAAATTCTCGTCACTTCGGGCCAACAGCGTTTTAGCAGTATGTTCAAGATTTTCCAGATGTTCTCGAAGCTTTTTGCAACAATCCCATGAGTGGACACCTTGGATTCTTCCATAATGAAACAAGCGCCAAAAAGTACAAACACTCAGAAAGGACACATGACGAGCACTTCCTCGTACTTTTTAACGCGAAAGCGTTAGAGAGCTCGTGTCGCAGAAATTCCGCCGTTGGTGTCAGCCCCGTTATACGTGAACGGAAAATGGTCTGTTCGTCTGTGACCGAAAAATCAAGTCACCGATATTGCCGCGGGAGGCCGCTACTTGTCCACATGTGCGCGCGCGATCACTCTGTAATAGCCGCTCATTTGAAGAAAAAAAAATCGCTCAAGGTCACGAGGCGTGGTAGTTTCTTCGCCCCTGCCACCCCTCCCTGCTTAGCTTCCAACGCTTTTGTAGAGACGAGAGAAGAAATAATGCAATTACAGCGTGCGACAAACCTTTGTAACTCCACTCACTCTGGACGTATTCTTGAAACTTTTGTGGTGTTGAATTCGCCAGGCAATAAGATCTTCTAGTGAATTCATTCTATGGTTACTTGAAAAAGTGTTTCAGGGCCCCTTTAACGCATTTGTTCGACAGGTGTCTCTACGAAGACGAGCCCATCCGATGATCTGTAGGCGCATTTGGGAAGCCTCAAACTTCGTCGAAGAAGACCGGGATAGTGCAGCAATCGCCGCTAAAAATACCCACAAGAACTTTCAAACAGCTCTAAAAATAGACAACTATGTCCATCTAGCGGAAAACATCATGCCTTTCTAGAGGCGCTGATAGAGCAAACAGCAAACGCTAGATAATGTGCTGTTTTCTGTGAGGCATTGTGAGGCTCTTTATTGCCTCCGAGATGGCGTGCGCACGGGGTGTATCATGGATGCCTTGCAGCTCTTGCTTTAGATAAAAAAAAACCTGTATGTACCATTTGCGTGCGTGTGCTGGTACGATCTGCTGTGTGCGTGTGTTTGTGCGTGCGTTTGTGTGTATGTAACACAACATATGAACAAGTATGCATTTAGTGGTTGAAGAGCGCTCTAGGGGCCGAATTTCACTATCGCGTTCAACTCTTAAAGGTGAAGCTTAAGCGTCCACCAATTTTTGTACATTTTGGTGATTTTTTCATTATGAACTTATATACCAACGTGCCCTACTGGCCTTCCTAAATGGATTTTTCCATGTGCTCGCTAGAATGTATGAAAAGTATAATTTGCCTCGCCTCCCGTCAGGTGTCACTTACTTCATAAGGGCTTACCGAGACCATAGAGACGGAATGCACCACCTACCAGGCACGCCGAAGTTCTGCTGTCTATCAAAGCCCTTCGCCGACATTTATAGAAAATAATGTTCGCAACTTCAACTTTTAGAAATAAACGAATCGCCGTAGCCACACTACAGCTCCCACTACGCCGAAAAGAGGGCCCTGCCGAACAGAAGTGCCGTCGAGGCAGCGAAATTCTTTCTTCGGGACCTCGTTCGTCATCATGGTGCTGCTGAGGTTCTCGTCACCGACAGTAGGATGACCATTACGGCTCACCTAACGTAGCCTATCATAAGATACAGTCATAAAAGCCACCTACTACTTATAGATCAATGGCATCACTGAGCGTCGCGTCTAATTAGTAAAGGTTACTTTGATGTCTCGGTGCGCTTAACTAAGAAGTTGCCCCCTCCAGGGAGACGTACTCTGAGTGAAACTGGGCATGCATTGAGGTAGGGCATCAGGTAAACCTCAAGCCTCTCTTTGTGCACCAGCGAAGTGTAGAACTTTAATTTTCTAGTTGTTTTTTTTAATATTTACATACGTTTCTTTCATCAAATTTGTGTGGCTTTGCTGAATAGGGACAATGCGTTTTCATACAATAGCAAATACACACGCATTTTTTTTATTTTAACGTTATCGGCCCGTTGCACGCATAACCATCTGTCTTACGCTCGCAGCGCCTGGAATGTCGAACATACCTGCTTGCAAACGACAAACCATGTCAAACAAACCAGCGTGCACACTAGGGCAAACGGACCCAAACCTGGGTCCACTCTGTCCTGGCCCAGTGTTATACAACTGAGCAATGTCGATCCTCGAAAACCTTGCGCGCAAACATCCTGTACGAGTAGTATGTCGGGAAGGAACCTTGTTACCATATGCAATATAACGTGGTTGCATAGTAAAATAACCAAGTATCACGCAGTACGACCCGTGTAACCAGGCACCACAAAATATAAATTCGATCACGAGTGGGTTGATGGATGCTTTCAACCCATTAAATGGGGCTCAGCGATACTTCTTGATCGTCTTCAGCCATTGAATCAATTAATGGAGCATTGCGTACCTTGCAGGCGTACTTGTATTAGTAGCGCCAAGAGAGTTTGCAACTGTTTCTAGAAACAGCGCTCTTCTAGCTTTCACTGTGGCTGTGCTGCGGCTTTCTGTGCAGGCCTCGCGATTTTCTTATTTTGTTAATTTCTTAATATTTTGTGTGACTGTGATTTTAGACATCGGCAGTGGTGGTGGCGGACAACTACGGCCACCTTGCTGTGTTATATTTACATAACAGCGTTTGTTGTAAAATTAGGTTGACTGATCTATATATATATATATATATATATATATATATATATATATATATATATATATACGAAAGGCACCAGCGGTCGCCCTAGGACCACCACCAACCGCCTCCACTGACCATTTACTTCGCATGGGAGCTCACATAAGGTGGACAAAACGAAGCACCGCCCACTACAACCAGGTCGAGAGACTCAAGCTCTCATGCACAGGACGAGTAGTGCTATGACATGATATGAAACCACCCTATAAACGGACGAACAACATAAAAGCAAGATACCGTCACAGCTCCGAGAATCCATCATGCGAGATACAACTATATCTTCCCACGCTCTTATATGGAAGATACTTCGGCACACCGAGTGCACTGCAAGGCAAGCGACCCAGCGCTAAAAGGGGCAGCCACAAATGACGACGCAAACCACCCCAGAAAATACTGGGAGGCTGCGATCTTGAAGCAGGACCAGGTCCAGTGGAGTCAACTCGTCGCCAGAGCCCGGCGAGCCGTCCGGGGGAGAACGTTCCTGCATTCAATGCCCCTCCCACATTTTCTCGCAAGCGTTTGTACAACAGACGCCTTTTATTTCTCTTTCCTGTGCTTGTGTGGTATACAGATTTTAGAAGTGACATACGCTGGTTTTTCTAAGTCGACTTTAGTAAAGAAAATGCTTGGTAAATACTGGTTCCTGTTTTCTTTTTATTACGAACTGTTCTTCGCTTTGACTGTTTCATAATTTTTGCGAAGGATTCAGAGGCGATGTGGAATGCCCGCTATCCGTCTTACTGCACAGTGCTTATCATGACGAGATACATACGGAAATTATGCCATATAGTTTTCCTCAAGTATATATATCAAGGATAATATTCTGTTACTTTCCTCGTTTTCGAACTACATGAATACCTATGTTAGCGTCTATGATTTCATTGCCTAGGCGCATACAGTCGGCGAATATAAATACGTCCACATCGGAAATTATCAGTTCTGATATATTGAGAAGGCTACCCTCAACTTGATACGTTGTCCCAATATCTTTATAGAGTGCGGATCCTTTTTGAAGGACCAGGCTATGATATGTTGCCATCGCTAGCCGTAACTTAGCCAAAGACACGTATAAAATAAAAAAAAAATATGATACAAGGTCAACATGGAATGACAGGGAATAGGAAGAAGTGTGAAGGAAACCAGAAGTGCAAGAAAGAGAAAGAAATAAGCAGAGAGGAAGTAGGTAGAAAATAAAGACAAAATACAGAAGCACAGAAAAAGAGAATGAGGACGATGAGGAAGGAAAAAAAAGACATAAAAAAACAAGGCTGCCAAGTTTTGCATTTTTTTTTCAGATTTGAGACCATAGTGCAAAGCTGCCTTACAATTTTTTACTATTTTTTGCTTGTGGCACACTATTTGTTCACAGCCATAGATGCACAGTTTTGTTTTTGTCTACCCTTGCAGGTGAGCCTTCGCTTGCAGCAACTCGTGCCACCCGCCAGGATAGCGTTAACAGCAATAGAAGGGCTGCAGGTAACGAAGACACGTTCGGACATTTCGCGTCCATGCTGATTAGAGCATTACCTTTCAGGCCAAAACAGACTATCTACATATACACGACGACGGACGGATCATGGTAGATCAAACATTGTCTGCATTGGGGAGTCTGGCGCGTACTAGCGAAGTACACAAGAAGTCCGACATCCTCTATATGGCAGTCAGGTAATTGTACAGAAAGTTTATTACATAACCTAAAGTGCTGCTTCAGTAATGCAAGGAAAACGCTGCCAGAGTCAATATTGCACCGTGGAAACTGCATATAAAACATCAAGAGCAGGTTGTGATGCCTCAGTGGCCTTCACCGTATAACAACGAATCATTGGTGCTACCGCTTCATTGCTGGAATTGTATGCATGCTGCAAAGGCAAAAGTGTTTAGAAGTGCAGATTCTATAGTAAAAAAATTACTAATAGGAGAGAGTGGGAGACATGAATACGGTGCAAGGACACAGACAAATAAGTGGAATTTTGTAGTTACATGTTGAAAGGATGAATAAACTTGATGTTCAAATTCATATTCCATAAATGGTGACCTTTTTGCCTCTTATGCTTATGGTTTCACAATTTAACGGTCGGTACACCTGTACTGATTACCACATTGGAATGTGAACTCACTCTTACCCAGCCAGCTAAAAGAAACAACCCTGGTTTATTCGTTGTGTCGTATTTTTTCCAGAGAATGACTTGCAACAATGCTTACAGCAAGAGACTGTTTTAAGGCGTGTCGACTGTTTTGACATGAAATGGAATGACAATGTGTGCGCCGTTGGTTTGCGCCGTTCAGTACATGGCCATGTTCTGAAAATACAGGCCCAGACATGCAGACTCATTTGAGTTTTCATGCATTAGAGGCGAAGGAAGTATTTCTTGGCGAACCAGGTGTCCATTTCTTTGAGTATCTATTTTTTCCGAAGATAAGATCCTCAGTTCATGGCTCTACGCGTTTCAGGCCAGCAAAGCGACGCGGGCATTGCTAGGTTTTTCAAAAACGACCGGAACCTGACCACTTATATGCGTGCAATGAACAAGGTCACATAGACGATTGGAACGTCACTGCTTATAAGCGTGCAATGGACAGGCTCACATGTACCCACACGTTGCCCTTCACTTCTTCTCTCTTTATTCTTTTTTAATCCCCTCACCCTTTCCCCCCGTGCAGGGTAACAACTTGGACGAGCGTAGGGTTGCCCTCCCTGCCCTTCATTTCTTCCCTTCCTCCTCCTAATCTATCTATCCATTATGAGATAGAGATTAGACCTCATGTCGCCACGGCGCCGTAAACTGTTCAAGTGAGGACCACGAACACAGCATCTTCCTTGGAAGATACCGTGGCGGCCGCCGCAAATTGCCCCGCTAATTGAGCGAACAAATCGGTGGACCCTTTGATGTGTGCTGTCAGGAGCTTGGGACCTCTCGACTAGCGGCACACACACGACGAGGAAGAGCACCGCTGGCGCCACCTTGCAGTGCAGTGGTCACGACTCAATATTGGACGTTCACGTGGACCGTGCATGCTCGTCCCCCTCACCTGTTGTGTGTTTGTGATCGGTGTTCCACTCAAAGAGGAGGACCCGACAGGGCTTAAAACGACGCCGCAGAGTGCCTGACGTCGCTCTGAACCATGTAACGGTTCAACCACCACACTCGTAGTTTGTGAAACCACTAACCTTTCTTTGCTGTAAATAAGTGTAAATAGCTTCGTAAACCTGTTTGTTTTTGGTATCCTCATCTTGTCAGCGTTCGTTTCCTCGACCCGGTTACACCGCGCTACCACAGGAGACCGGGTAGACCCCCATTCGCAACAACTGGTGACAGCGGAGGGATGCCATCAGCGACCTTCCTTCTTCCGACCCTTAACACTGTCTGTCTGTCTGTCTGTCTGTCTGTCTGTCTGTCTGTCTGTCTGTCTGTCTGTCTGTCTGTCTGTCTGTCTGTCTGTCTGTCTGTCTGTCTGTCTGTCTGTCTGTCTGTCTGTCTGTCTGTCTGTCTGTCTGTCTGTCTGTCTGTCCTGTCCGTCTGGGATGGCCCCAATGAATTTTTCCTCAACCTTTTTGTTAGAGTGAGGGCTCACTCTCTATTTGTAGGAACCGAAGAGTTACTCAAACGATTTGGCCATCTTACTTTTATTCGATGCCCCATCACGGTAGTCTAGTGGCTAAGGTACTCGGCTGCCTACCCGCAGGTCACGGGATCGAATGCCGGCTGCGGCGACTGCATTTTCGATGGAGGCGAAACTGGTGTAGGCCCGTGTGCTCAGAATTGAGGCACTTTAAACGTCCCCAAATAGTCGAAATTTCCGGAGTCCTTCACTACGGCGTCGCGCATAATCGTATGGTGGTTTTGGGGCGTTAAACACCACATATCAATCATTACTTTTATTCGTGGAAGCAAAAGTATCCACTAGGGGATAGTAAATTGAGCAGCCCTGAAGGATGGACGCTCAGAATCTTGTAGGTCGGTGCGTATCCCAGGTAATGCATTCTTGCACAAGATATATCTAGAAATTCAGACGTCCAACAAATGCGTGCTTTGCCCCTGATTTTGCAGCTAAGATTGATTGATTGATTAATTTGTGGGGTCTAACGTCCCAAAGTTACCATATGATTATGAGAGACCCCGTAGTGGAGGGCTCCGGAAATTTTGACCACCTGGGGTTCTTCAACGCGCACCCAAATTTGAGAACACGGGCCTACAACATTTTCGCCTCCATCGTAAACGCAGCCGCCGCAGCCGGGATTTGAACCCGCGACCTGCGGGTCAGCAGCCGAGTTCCTTAGCCAATAGACCACCGCTGTGAAGAGCAGCTAAGATCACATGCTCAGGAAGTGCCCTGTGTTACGGGTTGAAGACATAACATTATCCTAGTGAGATGCTGTGCTACGCAGTCTGCATTTAATGGCACAACTATGGGCATACCAACGAGCCTATGACAAAGTGGGAAGGTTAGGGGGGACCGGCTATGTGCCAGTGCATGGCACGATGGAGCTAAATAAAGTTTTTTCATACCATACCATATTATTTAGGCTATAACTAGAAGCAATTCCAATTAGCCAAACAACCAATACGCAGTAAGCGATCCCATGTTTATTTTATTTTTTTGCTTTGTAGTCATAGCTGTCATCTATAAAAAACGTCTGATGTCTGTGAAAGATACATTTTATTGTGAATACCAGCATGAGTGAAATCAATTGGTGTGATAGGTCACGTGTAAAATGTTTCTTTTTTTTCTTAGTGCAGGTCTGGTTAAAATTAGACGTGGGAAAAACCTTGGCAGGTACTTTAGGTAAGTGACATAATGTGACATCTTAACGTCTCCCCTATGATGTATATGCTGGAACTGGTTATCTCGATAGAGAGTGCAGTGGTTGACCTTCATATATCGAACTACGCAGCAAGAGCTCGGAACTGCATAATCGAAATCTGCAGTGATAAACAAGCCCCACCTTAGCATGTGCGGCGCCAACGACGAGCTTTTTTTGCATATTTTATCCTTGAGTGTCACCACGAATGCAACGGCCAATTTGGCCATCGGAGGCTTTCTGATCGGTTTAGCGCAAAAAAAAGTGAACCATCCTTGGCATGATATGGTACCACGAACCGAGAATAAATTCGCAGTATAAAATGCACCAATCCAGTAGATCGTACTTTTTTTCCCCGCGCTTCTGACAGCCGAAGGAGTTATCGCGGCCGCCGTGATAAACAAAGAGGGAAACTCCAAGTAAGGAACAATATCGGCGCTGCGTATTCTCTGACGTGGCTTGTTCAGAACTGCAGATGTGACTCGTATGGTTCAGAGTACGACGCTTAGTCGTTCTAGAGACAGGGCGTTTGACCATTGTACGGGGCCTGCAACAAAGGTCTCTTTTCGGCTGATTTGAAGAGCGTTGTTTCTCTGTTCATGTTTTCTTACACATTTTTTTTCAGAAACTTAATCTTTTTTTTTACTTTCTGCAATATATGCCGCAAAGCTAAACGCAGACCGGGAACTGCCATACAATGAGAATAGGATAAATGTAAAAGCAGGTAACGCATCCCAATGTTGCGATTTCATTTTACGGTATTCTCCAGTGCTCAAGGAATGAAGCCATGAGTCAGAATTTTTTTAGGAAGCAATTATAAGAGAAGTTGATTCTCCTACAATATAAAACACATTTTTGGCACATGTGAGTGTTTGAAGGAAGTCTCATTTTTATTATTATTTAACTCATAAGTCACTGAAAGCGGGCCTTATGCCGACACTCCCAGCTCAAGTGCTGCACGCGAAAAAATATTTATTTTTGTAGTGACATGAAAACACATTTAGGCCCGTGCAATGAACTAAAGCAAATGAGAACGGATAAATATTCAAAACATGGTAAATAAATACATCAAAATATGCACTAACAATATGGGGGTACCTTCGTATTACAGGCCCCCATTGTAAATATTCTTGCACGATTTTGCTTATTGAAGTTCAATACACGTCTACTAACATTATAAGAAAATATGTCAATTTTGAATTAAAAAGGGTTTCTCAGAAAAAAAGCAATGACTGTGCGTGTGTGAAAAAAATACCAAAAAGAAGGTATGAGAAAATCAACAAGAACGATTTAAAACAGGCTTAAGGCTTAGACAAGGTGATCACGAGCGCTAAAGTTTTCAATGCTTGTACTCAGTTCTATCGTCGACCTGCCTTCGCTCGACCAACAACTCTCTATTATCAGTCTAGCCTGTATTGTAGCATCAGTGCCATGACTGGCAGCTTTCAAGGTGCCGTGCTTATAATTTTTAAGGCAAAAGTTTGCAGTGTAGAAGCGCTGTATTAATACGAATTCATCCAAAAATGTAATTAGTGCTTCTGTTACTATTATAAATTGAGACTAAGAGTCAAACAAAGCAAACTTTATGGTTTACAAGACCACGTTCGCGTCCTTCATTGTGAACAACACGTCCACCACGTTACAAGTTCACCCGTTGAAAAGTTTATTGCTCGCATTTCAATTTCGCATAGCATGATGCGTGTCCGAACTAGTCCCGTAGGAAGTACTGGGAGCGATCACAAGATTGAGCACCGTAAAAAGTTAGTTAAGTGTGCGACAAGAATTGGTTACAGTATACCTTTGTCTTGTAGACAAGAGTGCGCAGGTCAGACAGGCAGGTTCCCTAATGTAAGACGTCAAGAATATTGCCAGAAGATAGGAAGTGTGGAGCAGGACAGTTTTTTGGTTTGTTCTGGATGTGGGACTCAGCCAGTGTTTGAAAAGGCAACGGTTCTCGTGTCCCAGCCTAACCAATGCACTACATTCATAATTGAAGCAGCAACGGCCGCTCGCGGCAGTTGCATCAGTAAACCGCAAACAGCTTCATCAGAAAAAAATTTGCGTATTTTGGTTTCTTGAAGTCTCTTTGTTTTCGTCGCTTTTTTTGCCTGTGTTCTTGAATAAGCATGTTATTTTATCTTATCTTTTTATTCATATATATATATATATATATATATATATATATATATATATATATATATATATATATATATATATGTGTGTGTGTGTGTGTGTGTGTGTGTGTGTGTGTGTGTGTGTCGCGTAAGAAGGCAGGGATGGTTAGGAGAAGTAGAGGAGAAAGAAGTCAGATCAGAGCAAACATGAAGTATGAGCGGGCCACGTCGCCCAGTCATCATAGCGTCACACGAGCCGACAGGATAAAGACGTCCTGGCCACTTCATCAGTGTTTTCATCATTGAGGCAGATCTCCACAAGACGCTCTGACCATACATCGACTACGGAATCTACTCCTGGCCGCTTACAGCGACCAGCACCATGCCGGAAACATCGACTGCCCTTCCCATCCCCAAGTACACCGGAGCAGCGGACGATGGACCTGTGCAGGACTGGTTTGACCTATTCGAGCTCCACGCAACCGCTGCATCATGGTCGGAACGAGAGATGATCATCAACTTTACCGACTACGTCTCCGGTGAGGCCTTCAAATTTTACCTCACCCACATATTTCAAAACGATGTGTCATGAGAAAAGATAAAACAAGAAATGATCATTTGGTTTAAAGAAGACAATGACGACTACGACGAAGATTCGCATATAACCGACCATCCACAGACAACCGCGCTCGGTCGCCGCAGTCAAAAGCCCTGCTCACGTATTGGGACACCAAAAATGAATCGGCCGTTGAAACAAGAGCAATTAAGCACCCTCTCAATGAAAGGCAGCCATATCTGTTTGCAGGAAGAGTGTACCCTTCACCGCACCGCGTTTTGCAGCTGCCCGATCGAAAACCAACCTTTACGTCATCACTGTACCGTAACAATAAGATTAGGGAGCCACCCTGTGCACAGTACTTTTCATCTCGCGCACTTCGACCGCCTCCTACTTTTCCGTCACTTGGCCCTTTGGTCGCTCACAACGCCCACCTCGCGTCTCACGCGTTCACTATGGTCGGAATAGAGCGGAAAAGCTCCGAGCGTACTCAGCCGAGCCCAGGGTCTACCATCCATATTCATGCATCAGAACAGCTTAACTCGTTAGTTACACAGAAAGACAAACATTTCCGACTGAAATCTGACCAAACTACGCCTGCTGCGGTGTCACCATCCAGTGCACAGACACCTGGGGGTCTTAACAACACAGGAGGCTCGACCATCAAATCGCACACGTTGCCGAGAGCCAGAGGCGTCCATTAGGAACGGCGTCACAAGAGCCACCGAAGAGTCTCCAGTAAATTCGAGCGCACAACCTTCATTACCCGGAGTGCAGCATAACAGTCCACTGACTACCATCCGCCACTGTACACCACATCAAGCTGCCTAGAAAATCAGTGCCATGGTCAAAAACGGCTGCCACCTCAGCTCCTACCACAAGAACACTATCAATGCCAGCTGAAGCAAGCCCAAGAACAACAGAGTCTCCATGGGCTACACCAACAAGGACGACTACGAACGGAAAAATCTTTGGAAGAACATGCGAGGATTAAACAAAGGCGTCTACAAGCGGGTCAAGTGAAGTGACGACAAATTCAATATGTCTTGCTTAAGACAAACAAGTCTTCTAATTCAAAACATTTTCGCCAAAAGAAACATTGCACAAGTTTTCTCCAGAAAATATCAAGATTCAGTCTACAATCAAAGCTGTTCAGACAACAGGACACAAAGTGACGAAGAAGGCGTAAAATCACACCCTGTAGTACGGAAGAACGCAGAAATCACCGCATCAGTCTTGGTCAACAAACACTCAGACGGATGGCACTGCATGTATACCAATATAGGCAAAGAGCACGACGCCTACGAAAATCATGCTGCTGGTGCTCCAAAGCCTTCACACCACGTTCATTCTTTGCAAGTATACAATCAGTTTTATCATCAGCAGTTTCAACGTTCATGGTGTACTTGTGTTTTTCAACGCAACAGTCAGCCTCCCCCACCAGAACTCCAGCGCTTACCGGACTGATGCACTCTCCTGTGAAGCTAAAGTGGGTTTACGGAAAATCCTGGGACATGGAACGATCTTCCCTTTTTTGACTGCGTTCACTTTTTAGTCGTGCATGTTCAGTTTTCAATTTCTGTTCGTCTGACGCAACTTCTTTCGGAGAGAGGGGGAATCCTGTGACGTAAGAAGGCAGGGATGGTTAGAAGTAGAGGAGGAAGAAGCCAGAATAGAACAAACATGAAGTATGAGCCGGGCCCCGTCGCCCAGTCATCATAGCGTCATATATATATATATATATATATATATATATATATATATATATATATATATATATAAACGAATGAATATATATATATATATATATATATATATATATATATATATATATATATATATATATACAGTGTCTACATGTGGACGATAACGATGATGGGGCATTTAGTGGGCACGAGGTAGTGGGCCTCTAGCTTCTCTCGAGGCCCAAGAAGACGGCCTTGTGGCTCAGCTGTTGAGGACCCGCTGACTTCGTCGTCCTAAGGTGTAACAGTGTTTTATTCGCATTGTACCGTGACACTGCTGGAAGTGCTGGGCCGCAACCCTGTCTGATGCTCCACACGCCCGCTGGGAGCCGCTCATCAAGTCCAGACGCATTGTCACCTGTAGAAACACCGGTGCATCGCTCCAGTCGACGGTTGCAAGGCCTCGCACCAGAGCTGACTCAGTCACCGGAACCTGCTAGGCACCACATACCTCAACCAATGGCCAACGCAAGTCCGCAACAGGTGCCCCAAGGCAGCTTTCTGACGCACCCATCTCAGGTGACCATCTTTCAACCCCGCGTTCCCGATCGCTTTAGTGGCGGTGCCCAC